ATGACGAGCTGAGCTTGAAATGACCGAAATCCTGAGAAAGTCCAGATGGAGAGAAAATGCAACATCCTCTTGATGAGTATTCGCGCCGTTCAGACACCGACTTAACACCAACAATACTTTTGCTCCCTTTCAGTGTGCCCATAGAGGACCGATCGACTTCGGGAAGAGAGTCGAAAACATGATGAGGACTATTTCTGATCGTCAGTCATATGATACTTCTGATAGATCCTGACATATCACCACCCCAAATCTCTCGCACTGTAAAGGCATAATTGGTGTGCCCTTACAGGTCAAACATAGTACACGATCTAGACAAAGCATTGCAAGAAGGTTGTTTAAATGTGGAGCACATACATATCCCCCAGGCTTGGACGTAATGAGATCCAGATTGAGAGCGACATGAAAGGCCCCGTTAGTAATTCCTAGAGTACAATGTCAGTAATTTTTAGTGAGTTGGACATTCGCACATAGATCTTCCCTGAAATCAATTCTCAGTCGCATTTGGATATTGCTCAACTTGCAGCGAGCCTGAAATACGGGATGCGCATGAATAACGACAATAACGAGAAATTCAATCAAAGAAATGGCAACGTGGTCGTGAGTCTCGGATACCTTTAAGGCGGAGATATTGCGCGCTGTGATAGGTCCGTCCAGACTCCAGAGTCGGTCCTTTTGAAATTGTCGAGCTCGGGAGTGTGAGTAAATACTGAAGAGATTCAAGTCTAACACTAAGTCTATTACTTAGCGATGAATTCTCCTCTATGATCCATCCACCCCCGCGCCCGGTTCTTTTAGCTACATGTGAGCTAGGTGGTGGGGCTAAACGTCTTATAACCGACGCTAGGAGCAGGTACCATGCAAGATGTCGTCAATGGGTGGAAAAAACAATTCATTGGGACCAAGACTGCAACAAGTGTGGGTCAAATGACTTGTACAAGAGTTAAGCGTCGCGGAGCGTACAACTCAATGACCAGCATTTAGCAATCATAATGCTTTCATTGTGGGGTAGTATGACTTACCTTTACTCTCATGTCAATCCAAGCAGCCGCGTAACAGCGGGAATCAGGAGTCCTGTGCTTATTCTTACAAGCGAGCAAGCGATAGGATGGAATGGAATGGGCAAACATCATGCACAGACTGTACGCGTTCATGGAGTTGGGAGGTGGGGGTGGGTTCCGTGTTTCGATGGCTATAAGGCGAGATTAAGCAAGGTCTGGAATGACGGGTGGATGTGTAGCGCGTTCCTATCAAAGATAGGCGAAGGCTGCGAAGCAATGAGAGGCTTGACTCGGGACCCAGGTAGATTTATGCATCAGGGGCTTTCTATAACAGGAAGAAACCGCCCCTATCGACTGCTCGGGAGTGAGAGGCGTGCCCATGCCATGCATTCGCGGGGCCTTGCTGGAACTGTATGTCCTTCCAAATTTCTGCCGTATGTAGTGAAAATGGCATCTCGGGCCGAATTCATCCCAAGACTGTATTGCTGCGTATTTCATTAAGTTATGGATGTCCCATAGTTGACTGAGCATCGTACCGACTGAGATTAAAAGTTTTGTTCCCCTCGGCCACCGTAAGATCTGCTGGTACTAGTAGCAATACAATTTATCGCAGTCCGGTCACGCGGTTACATGATATCGCTGCAGTAATGTAGTTCCGAAAAGGATTTGTATATCCATATCATTGGACGTGATTATGTTCGAGAACCAATAAGGAAGGATGTTCGAACTTTTGACTCTTTATGGAAGACCTTCCGGTATCCGTTATTACACGACGGTTATCCCTCATCAACCAAAATAGCAAGCTTCCGCAGCTAATATGCATTATGCCTTCGATGTTCATCTCCACTATTAAGAAGACCTTGGGCGGGGATGCCGGGCTTTGGTCAGAAACGACCACATAAGTTGAAGGACCTCATAGTGATCTGAGCATTAAATGCACAGCGCGATCAGCCCCGAAGTCAAAAAGACGGGAATTTCGATCGAGGTTCGAAAAACAATCCTCAACACATGTAGTGCAAATGGAATTGGTAGTATGAAAAATGATCAAGTACCTGTCTGGCTGGCCGATATGCCGTCGACGTCGCTGACACTTCCTATTAACTCAGACTGAACATATAAGTGGGGGTCTCAATTGATATGAAATTAAACTACGGGGTTATTATCTGGGGAACGAGTCTCGGGCAAAGGCGAAGTTCATCGATAAATGTTTAAGATCGGTTCCCCATAGGCTGAACACCCCCATTCCAATTCGTATGGACATTCACGCATTGGGCACGAGCTTATATCCCCGAGAATTAAGTTGCAAGGAAATATTTGACAAGAAAAAGGGATATCATGAATCGGCCATGCTGGATGGTTTTGTGCTTTCGACATGGGGAGGCCGACGATCGTGGTTGATTGAACAATATAGAAAGTTCGATATATTACGTTGCCCATCAAACATAAAGATCGAAAAATTACCCGAAAGCCCGATGAAAAAACACCAGTTGAGGTGGAACCAATTGATATGTCTGGTAGGTTATGAGGGCCAGAGCGTGATCGGGCGTCACTGCTATGTGATATGAGGAAAAGAACTCGATGTGAGGCTAGGGCGATCCTCAATTGCTGTTCGACTGAGAATTATTTTCGAGCTCATCCAAGTGATTGGCCTAGTGTTGGGTACTTAGTCCTGGTAGATCACCTTATGGTTCATACAGCCAGAGATTGTGGTCATGTACGTGTAGTTTTGTTTAGCCTTACCACATCCCACGATGTACCGAGATCCTCAGCGATCGATGTCTCTATTATCGGTCAGGGAATTATCACTGGTAGCGTTTCCGAGGCAACTCGAGCCGTGTGAAAATTTTCCTTTGTCCGGAGGATAGCTGAGGTAGAGCGAGCCCATCGCCAACACCTGAGTTTGCATGAGAGCGAGTCGTCATAGTTTGTTTAACGAAAAAAAGCGGAACACAAGCGAGTCTCGCGTGCGTCGGGACGTATTTGTCCCGGTGCTACAAGTTTCTGATTAGATGGGGAAAGCGAATGCCGACATGTTCAAATAAATTGTATTCGATCCTCCAGGGAGGACCAGAGAAACTGCTGTAAGTGACTACCCAATCCTTAGACAGGGCACCCGTGTAAGGGTTTTGCCTTTGCCAGCTGTAAAATGTCCCGCAGCCCGAATACGCCGTCGATGTTCATCTTACCCTATGCGCTGAGAAAATTTTACGGGAGATACGACATAAAATTTGTGAGAAACTGTTATTTGGATTGATGTTGTAATAAGGATCATGCGACTATGAGCGCCGTCAGATCGTTGGCGTTTATGTCCCGATATCAGAAGATTGATGCATTGATGGGCAGACGCCCCCGAACTGGCAGCGACTCATTGGTTCCATCCATCGTCAGAAGGTTTCTTTGTGTTCTTTGACAGTAAGGGACTTAAAGTGTCGATCGAGCTTTTTTTTGTTGCTTCACCGTCTGTCATCAAGATCAGTATTGTGTAGTAGACAATTTAGGCAGGTGGGTGTAGTCCTGAGTTCTAACACTTCTTTTTCCTATGGTATTAAATGTCCTATGCACGACAATTCCCTCGCCGCCCATTCTCTCACAGAGAGGTTTATCAGGACGGCGAATGTTTAACCCTGGAAGCACATTAGTTCGCACTGAATAAGGCATATGTACTATAATGTAGGTGTCCTAAAGCCACAATACTGACTGCATTGTCTGACTCCATTCGCCAACGAATCAGATGTTTGAAATTAGATCTACTCGGCAATCGAGGTTAACTGGGAAACTCTTCAGATGTCTTCAGATGTCTGTCTGCGCAAGCATCTGCACGCACCAAATACTTATCAAAGGAGAATTATTCAGATGGGGTAACTTGCAACAATGCCCGAATTCGAAAATTCGAAGATCACAGGTTGAGAGATATCAGAAGGTTCAACACTATACGAGGATACAAAGGCCGCTCATAAAATGTGGTGCATCATTAAAGGGAACACCATGCCTTCAGATTGAACATAAGTACATAACCAGTAGGTACTAGGAAGCAACCATTTCGGCCGAGTTCAGTGATAAAGATGCATTAAGCGACATCAGCTTCGATGTGGTGCAGAGACCGTGGACCTTGGACCGGCAAAAACAGGCTATTAATGGAGGGCTGTAAGTTGTAAAAGCAAGTAAGGACTGACTACGGTAGATCAGAGTCATGCTCGCTGGTCGTTGATGTGCAGGGTGTTCTTGCTTCACATTGGATTCATGGGAAATGCATGAGGATTATTGGTCGTCAGTTGCACTGTCCCCCTTTGGATTGTTGGGTAACAACCAGACCCTGACACGCTGTGGACAGTGGACTACATAGCCCGCTGGGAGTTTCCTCTCATAGCGCCAATTCTCCAATTGCTTAGCTGAGCGGAACGCGTCCAATTCTGTTCGAGTCTCCAATTACTCCAATCGATAGTTGATATCCAATTATAAATCTGTTTGTACCTTTGATCGAGTGGCTATATACATGTCGGAAGTTGTCGAACAGAGTAAAGCTATGCTGAAGTGTTCAAGAAGTGTTTTCGTGACCCGAGGACTCTTGCGATGACTGGTCTTCATCATCATCCCAAACCGAGGCACTGTCGCTAAATCCCTCACTACAAAAATAACATCTTTTCGACGAAGAGGCGTTCCCCGAGGAGAGAACTCGGATGGATATTGGCGAGCGAGTCCCTGCGAATCCACATCCATATCTCTATCCGCGTGCAGCCCAGAAACATGCACGTGCCGGTACTTCCGGAACGCGTAGTGTTGCGATCGCGACTCAGGCCACAGACCCGGAGTGTCTCTAAAGGTGATCGATGAAAATATTTAATGGGAGGCCTTCTTGTGCAAAAAGAACCTTATAGCGGTGAACGTGTCATTGCTGATACACGACATGTCGTTGTCCCAAGCGGTCTACGAAACTTGAAAGAATATGGTGTTTAGACAATGTTGAGATGAACGGTCACGGCTTCCTGTAGACCAGAATGCATCGTCTCGATAGCTCAGTGGTAGAGCATGCGATTGCAGTTCGCCTTTCATCGCAGGGTCCGGTGTTCAAACCACCGTCGGGACTTCACTTTTTGTACTTTCTTTTATTTTTTTATTTTTTTTTCCAAATATTTATTGAAATTCCGTTCACGAAGATAGGTGCAACAAAGGTTAGAGATACAACCATGCAAAGGAATTATGCAGAGGGTGAAGATAAAAAGAATTCAAACCGCGCTAACATAAGCTTACATCTTAGACCTTGAAAGCAAGAATGAAGTAGCTTTAGACCAGAGTTAAATCATGGAAACGACTTGCTCTTCTGCATGTTCACATTTGGTTCAGAATCCAGATCCCGGCTCTACTCCCTGCATATCATCCCTGAAAATAAAAATGGCATAGAAAAAGATAGAGATAAAGCAGAAAAGTATTGAGCAATAACCGACAAGCCACAGTCAGAGAACGAGTAACAGCAGAAAGAGCAGACAAGCCGGAAGGGTCAAATGCAAAAATATGTGATATTTATAGTGTTACACCTTTCTCGTATGTCATTCTTCTCCGCATTTCTTTCTCGTCGTTGCTTGCGTATTCCTCACAGATGAAAGGAAGGAAAACAATATCGGTGACAAGTGTCAACAAAAATGAGGGCGGGGCCGCCATTTGATCCAGGAATGCCGCTTCTCGGATTCTCCATGAAACTGAGACACAAAGGGACAAGCACGAAGCATGAGCTGCAATGCCAACCTTGGAGCAGCAAACGAAAACATAAAACAAACAAAAATTAGAAGCCAAAAAGGAGAATGCGTCGGAAAACCAGCGATAAGTCTGGAGGATGAGTTTACAAGAAAGACGCGCTCAGAGGCAAGCTATGATCCTAGTTTGCTATCTGCACCGTCTTGGGCACCTCTGAAATCCAGTCCTTGTCGCCGCTTCCTTGGACGAACTCCTCCAATTATCAAGGGGTGAATACAAGCTTGAAAAAGGGGAGAAGAGAAAAAGGCACCAGCACAGCATCAGGGAAGTCAAAGTCGGAGAACGAGGAGAACGCTTGGGTATGGGAGAAGAGTATCAGCCTATAAATGTACTACACATATGCGCGTAGCCTTGCCCATACCCTGCATGGCAATCGTGTTGGACTGTCTTTCTCGTCATCGCTCCTCTGCGTCTATTACGCCCGCACGAAGGGAAAGTGAAATGAAAAATACGGAAAAGAAAATTAAGACGGAGAGGGAGAAATACAAGGCAATTTTAAACCGGAACTCAAGCACCCAAATTATGCAAAAGGGCAGGAGAAAGAAATCGTAAACGGAAAGCAAAAATAAGAGATTCGCTGTGGGGGACACATTGCAAAAGCAGCGACAAGTCAACTACAAAAAAGAGTTTCGCTTATCTTGCTATAATGATAGCTTGCTTTCTGTGTGCGTGTAGCGACTCACTGACGTTGTACGGATACTTCCTTGTCATTTGGTTGTCTCCAGCAAAATAGAGAGGCAGAGCGGCAGAGGAGAGGGAAAATATTGGGAGAGCAGCAGTAAAGGGAAAAGCAAGTGGTGAAGGGGGACGATACACGAAGAGCCAAAACAGAGAAACGAAGGATGATTTCAAGTTCCGTATCATGCAAGAACAGATATGAGCGACACAAAGACATGCCTGCTCTTCTGCCTGTATGAATTAGATTTGCGATGCCCTCGGTTTCGCATGGGCCTTGCTGTGTTATCCATGTGATACGTAAGTGGTATTGCAAAGAGGAAAACGGTGATATAAAAAGAGAGAAGGGAAGAAACGAAACTCAACTAGGTTGAGTTGGGCGGAAAAGTGAAGAAACAATGATCAAGGAGAATGAGATTGGTCGTATTGTATGACACATAGAACAAGCGCAGAGACGACGTCGAGATGATAATAATATCTGGCTGCTCGTCTGCGTATCCAGGAAACATCCGGTCGTGTTCTCATGTGGTCTCTTGGTAGTCTCCAAGACAAAATAAAATAATCTGTGACAGAAGATATCCTCTCTCTCCAACTCTCGATCTGGACCAAATGTTCCCGTACAGCAACGTTCCATCCACATTCTCCACAACTGGAGAATGTATGGGTTAGGGAAGCGAGGTGAAGAAGAGCAGATCATTGCCCATGAATACTAACCGCAGGGCAAGTCGGAGAGCGTCGCACGGTTTTATGTCATGTGGAATAAACGCAAAAACAGTCAAAGTATAACAATACAATGCTTTGTTAGGCGTATATCATATGTATGCGTGACGCTCTCGTGTTGCTTCCTTAGTTGTCTCCAATGAGAAAAGGGGATAGGGTGGGTCGGTAATTAAAGAAAAAGTGAAAAACAAGCGAGTCTGAACGACGGATATGAAAAAAATGAAGACAAGCCATTAAAGAGGAATAAAATGCCAGATGCATAAAGAGTCATATGGACTGAACACGTAGATCCAACGTAGATCAACATCATAACACCAATTCGGAGAACGCGCATCATGGAGCATCATCTCCAGCAATCAGCAGAGAGTGACACGTCAAGTGCATCGCACCCCACTGCTTGTATGCATCTAGCACGGCTCAATACCCACGTTCTCGTGGTGGGTTTTTGTATGTTGCTTTGTCACAAAAAGTGAAAGAAAGAGGAGATGATAAAAAAACAAGGGATGACGCATACGAAAGGGATGAGGGTGAAAGAGAAAGAGAGGAGAGATTAAAGAGTGAATTCAATGCAGAGACGAATTTGGAGAGCTGCAATCACAAATCAGAGAATGATAGGTGGGACGACAAAACGCAAGGGGTGGAGATTTGCTCTGATGCGCGTCCTCGACGTTCCCAACATCGTTCTCGTTATAGTGCTCCTGCAGCTTTCTTCCTTGTGTGGAGAGTGGCGGGAAGGGATAGAAAGTAGTAAGGCAGTGTATCGCTGGCAGCAAGTGGTGTTGCTTTCGATGGATATGCATAGTCCAGAGGAAAGGATCTTGATCTGTGACATCCTCCATGGCCAGGTACGAAAGAAATACAACAATTACGGAATCCATGCAACGCTGCGGAGAGTAGCCAGGATGTCGGCGATCGTCATCAATTGAGTATGGGCTGAATTTACGTTCACTAAACCGTGACGCCATTCAGATCAAGTACTGGCACGACGAGATAAGATCATCAAAAGCCTGAACGGTACCAAAGTTTGACGGTGGTTTGAATAAACCATGAATATAGCTGTTGGATGGATGATCAAGGTCAACAGCAAGAGCAGGATTCGTTGACAATGATAGCGGCCCTGAAGCTGAGGCGATGATGACACATCGACACACGTGCAATGATGCACGTGCTACCAATGAAGAACGCGTCGCGTCGCATCTTAGGATACGAAACAGGGGGTTTGGATGTGATGCGAGCGCAGGCAAAAAGTGAGACAAGGTTGTGAGCTTTAATGCCATTTCTTAGCCCAATCGGATACCCTGCATGACGAGGCAGATTATGTACCAAGTTTGCCAACAAGAAAAAGGGGAGAACAGCGTGAGCAAACAAACGAAGAGGAAAAAAAACCAAAAGTGTACTTTGGTCTAGTACGAGAGAAATGACTAGAAGAAAGTGCTCTATCACAATATCGCACTAATCCTACCCAATGAATTGGTACACATCTCGTTCTCATCACTGCTACCCTTGGCCTTGCAAAAACAAAAGCCAAGAAAGAAAGTTGTTGAATTGAAATTAATATAAATAAATAATAGGATCCGGACAAGAAGAGCAGCAACTCAGAAAGCTGCCCAAGAGATGTTTGAAGTATGTCCGAGTGAGAAGAAAAGGCCACAACTTGGCTTCTGATTTCATCACTTAATTCCAATGCATCAATCCCTGGGCTGCTTTCATTCAGAATCTCCTTTTTTTCCATCGCACAAAAGACAAGTAAAAAAGAGAGGGGGATAGGTGGGACTCGTTAGCGATTTGAAAGTTAAAGTGACAATGCAATCCTGCATGTATTAAGAAACCCATTGTGTCGTGTCTGACACAGATAACGAGCCCTCCGGATATGAGAAGCCAAACCAGAGAACACGAGTGGATCACAAAATCAACAAGGACAGCATCAGAGTCAAGCGACCATTTTGCAATAGGAAGCTTGCTCTTCTTCCTGTCCATGATGTTGCCCAATCGTGTCCTCATGATGCTTTCCTCATTGTCTCCAAAGAGGCTTTGTGCATGATAATGAAAAAAAGATAAAAATAAAATGAGGAAGAAAGAAGAAAAACGAAGAGAACAAATCAACTGGCCAAGGTGAACAAGACCTGGAAACCAAATCAGAGAACGCCCGGCGGCTTCTTCGAGCATGGGCAAGTGCAGGGTTCAGCTAAGCTATAACCACATGTAGCTCGCTCTTCTGCACGTCCAAGCAAGATGCTCCTGGCATTCTCGTATGGCTCCTTGCTCGTACCTAACCAAATAAAGAAATGGTTTCAAACAACCCAACAACTTCCATATACTAGGGAGCCGAACGGAACTCCAAAAGCAAATCAGAGAACTGATGCGCGCATCTTCTTGGACAACAAAAGCACAGAGGCATGAGCGCAAATGCTAAGCGCGTCTTCTCTTGCACTCAGGGTTCATACAAAGGTGACGCCTCCGTTCCCATGTTGCATTGCATCGCTTCCTTCGGGTGCCCTCGCAACGAGAGAAAAATGGGTGGCAGGTAGATAACAGGAAGAGTAGACGAGACGACTGATCAAGAGACTGACATCACAGGACCAGTGAGGCAGCACAAAATCACGGATACATTGCGTTCAACGCAACCATAGTCATAGTATAGGGATACTAGACCCATTACGCGCCTATGAATATACCGTCACTGGCGTTCTCGTGTTGCTTCCTTTATCCGCTGTCTCCGAAGGGGGTTGGTTAGAAAGATGAAATTGGAAAAAAAGAAAAAGAAAAGAGAGGTATAAAAAAAAAACGAGACCACGAGGAAATGGAATGATCATGCTCAGGGACAAAACTAACTCGGATCTGAGAACAAATTTGAAAAACATTGGGGAGCAAGCACAAGTGGTAAATGCAAGCACTAACCTGACTGGCTTCTTGTACGCTTCCATGGCGATTATCTGGATC